TATGCATATGAAAGCTGAATGTTTGGGGAATCCAGCAAGTATAGATACATTCCTGTGCTCTTATCCATATTGCTGTAATACGCGTTCCTTTTATGAAATGGAGGGGTATGGGGAGGCGCCAAATGATTACATACTTTTGAGGGAAGCGTAGTAACATCAAGTTTGAAAACCACTGATATAAGCTATGGATGCAAAGTAATTAAAAAAATGATTGAAATTATAGTTATAACAAAATATTACATTTCTGTTCTTAGTAAAGACTTATTTCTTATTCATGTATATAAGTATTCAAAAAACAATAGGCTATTTCTATCTAGTTTCTAGAATGTTAGGAATCATTGACGTATAATGATGAGTAATATGTAATAGTACGTTTTTTATAAGGCAAGAATATTGCAAAGCAAGATCTTTTCATAGTGTTAAAATCATTTGCTCTACAGTTAATCTAAATTTTGTAGTTTTTTTTTTACTAAAACTGTCTTAAACTTTACTTCTCTGAAGTTTCAATAATCATCAATCGAACATTTTATATAAATAGTAGATATTTTTAGAAGCAACCCTACCGTAGATGAGTAATATGTAATGCAATGTAGCTTACATCTTGCGGGCAAGAAAAATTGTTATCATCCAGTTGTGGAATCTTTATGGTCGCACCTCGTATAATTTTACGATCCTTGCTTTTATTAGATTTACAGTTGTCTAATACAATCTGCAAGAAGGTAGACTCAAACCGGATGTCGCTAAATTTATATATAAATACATATATTTATTTTGTTCGTTTTTTAATTGCTTGCAGAAATGCGACTGCTCGACAACCGGAAGTGTGCGACAACAGTGCAATGTACTGACTGGTGAGTGTCTATGTCAGACCGGATACACGGGCGAAAAATGCAACAAATGCGATCACGGATATTACGGATATCCGAAATGCAGAAGGTGCAGCTGCGATCTACGTGGAACGGACACGAATTCCGGCATTTGCAACGCTGAAGGTTTATGCCAATGCAACAGCGATGGATCATGCCCTTGCAAGGTAAACTGATCAACTCAAATTAATAATTTTACTTCTATATTAAATTGTTGCTTTTTTGGGAATGTAGGCAAACGTCGGTGGAAAGCTTTGCAATCGATGCAACAACGGAACTTTCGGTTTGCACGAAGAAAATCCCGATGGATGCACTAAGTGCTTCTGCTTTGGAAGATCTTCGTCTTGCGATGAAGCCGGGTTTACTTGGAGGAAGATCAGGGGAGAAAACAGAACGTTGACTGTTGATTTCACTGGATCACCGGTTAGGTCGAAGGTAAAGATTGTTATAAAAGACATTTTTATATTTTTAATTTTTATGGTATATCATTTGCAGAGAAGTAAATATTTTTCGAACGACATCGTGGATCTGAACAGCTTCGAGGAGTTGCCATTAGCACCTGCGAATTTAACGAAAACTTACGATCGATACGAGAACCCAATATATTGGCGGCTTCCCGTTAAATTTAACGGAGACAAGATATTATCGTACGGTGGATATTTGCGCTTCGTTTCGGAAACCGTGGACGCAACCGAAGCAGATGTTTTCGCCAGTTATCCATTGGTGAGAATCGAAGGAAACGGTTTCAAAATAATCAATAATCAATTGACCAATCCAACAAACGGCAACTACGAAATCCGCTTACATGAATCGCTCTGGAAGAGGATCCATTCGGAACATACGGTTGTTACCAGGAAGATTCTAATGCTGACGTTACAGAACGTCACAGGGATCTTCATTAAAGCAACGGATTTCGCATCTTTCCATAAGCTCAAGTATTTAATTAACAAAGTTTATTATTTTCTTTTTTTTAATGAAATCTGATTTTTTTTTTCAGTTTGTCTTCATTGAGTTTGGATACAGCCGACGATGTTCCTGGAAGACCACCTCCACTTGCTTTGGGCGTCGAGAAATGCGTGTGCGACCCAAAATATACCGGACCGTCCTGCCAGAACCCCAACGTAGGTTATTACAGGAAAAGACCGGTGAATCCCGACCATCAAACTATTAACATTGACGCAATCATCGGTATATCGGTGCCTTGCATGTGCAATAGTAGATCATCAATATGCGATTCGGAAACTGGTCATTGTCTGGATTGTTTAAAGAACACTGCTGGTAAAGCTTGCGACGTTTGCTCGGAAGGATTCTATGGGAATCCGATGACTCCTAATGGGGAATGCAAACCTTGCGCTTGTCCGAGCATCAAACAGAATTTTGCGAAAAGCTGCACTCCAAAATCTAGGAACAAATTCTCTTGCGAATGCAAAGATGGATATACTGGTCCGATGTGCAACTCTTGCAAAGCTGAGTTCTACGGTAAACCCAACGTTGAAGGAGGAAGTTGCAAACCGTGCGATTGCAACAGGGAAGGATCATTGCACAATATTTGCAACGCAATCACCGGACAATGTCTATGCAAAAAGGGAATCACAGGTTTGAAATGCTCGCAGTGCGAGGAATCTAGGCATATCCTAGAAAACAACAAATGTACTCGTAAGTTAACCAAATTTTATTTTTAGAATACTTTTAACATCTTATTATTTAATCTGTTGCAGAATGTGACGACTGCATTCAAATCTTATTGGATAACATCGATGATATGTCCAACGATTTGATGATCAATACCATGCATCTTCAGAATGGTACGCTGCAACCGCCTTGGCAAAGTTTACATAACACGAAAAAGCGCTACATTAATCTGGAAGATCTTCTGGAAGATTACGATGCGAACCGTGAGCAGATCACTTCGTTTATCAAAAAGGACGAAGTGAACGATTTGGAAAGGGACATCGCTTTATTGGAAAAGAATGTGGATGAGAAAAGTGATAATTTGAGCGACGTAAAGATAAAGGCTACGAGAAATTACGAAACCGCCACGAAATTGGCTAAAGATATTAAGGAAACGAGGCGCGAGTTGAACGATGTTATTACGTCTTTAAAGAGCTTCGGTAAGAACAAAATCGATTTAGAGGCAGCTTTGGAGAAGGGCAATAAGTTGTTGAAGGATATCGAGAAGAAGCAGAAAATCATAAGTGGTTACGCGAAGAAAAGCGATTCGACTTCAAAATTATGCAAGAAGGTCAACGATATGGCGAAACATCTATTATCCAGAAAATTCCCAGATCCGAGCGAACTCAGATCAAAGATCGATAATTTGAATATGAGATTAAGTGATATGGAGATGTTAATCAATGATATACGTATAAAGAACGATTTGACAACTAGGAAAACCATGCAGAATGAGGAGGATTACAATAGTATTTCTAAATTACTGATGGAAATGAACAGAGACTACGCAGATGTAACAAAGAAAATTGAAGAGAACAATGAGCAGGTCAAGGCGACACACGATATTTTGAACAAATTGCAAGAGAACTACGACATATTCACTGAGCACTTCGACGAGCTTTACGATCTGAATAGGAGGCTTGAAAGCCGCGAAGAGGAGTTGGATAAAACCATCGATAATCTTACAGAATACAGGAATCAGATTGCGAAGCACGTGGAGAGTTTGGAGAAGAACATCACGGAATACAATACGTAAGTTATTTTGTATATAAATACAGAATTATTAAATTAAATGATATTTATTGTTTTATTGAAGGTTGTTCAATTTCACTACCAAAGAGATGGATGCTTTGGCGGCAAGCAAAGGTTTCAAAATCATTATGCAGACTTTGAAAGAAGCCAACAGAACTGTGCATGAAGCACGATCCGAGTTCGAAGATATCCTGAAGAACAGTTTGGTACCGGATGGCACTGATAGCATTTACGTAAATACATCAATTGCGAACGCCAACTCGGAACGACTTGTCAAGAGGGTTGAAAATCGTATGAAACAAATCGCCGAAGGTATATGAATTTAAATTTAAAAAAAAATACAATATATTTCACGTTCAATTTCTTGCAGCTCGGATGAAGTTGCACAGGCAAATTCCTGATATTGAAGGAAACAACTGGAGGAACGGTATTAACAACAACGAGTTATCAGAGAAAGTTAGGCAGATGCTAAGGAACAACAAGAGCAAAATTAATATAGAAGATATCATAGAGCAGGCAAACAGTCATAGTATAAACATGAGGAATATCTATAAAGAAGCAATGAACATCAATGTTACAATGCAGCACGATCTGATCAAGAAATACGAGAAGTGCAAAAATCTCACATCACCAGAAAGTAAATGTTTATTATTTCAATTACTAATGGATAAATTTTATTTATTTATTTATTTTAGATACCAAGAAAATTCAGGAAGATATGCATTTAGTTAAAATTCTTGGTATTAACGCAACTGCAGCTCAAAAGAATATCATGTCTTTAGAGCGTCAAATGACTGAGGTGAAGCAACAAAACGATGAGAACTTCAACAGAGACCGGTCCAAGTTGGAGCAGAGACTCGCTAAATTGAGAAACACCATCCTCAAAACTGAACAAATAGCCTCAACGGTAACATACTATAAATTAGAATAAAAATAACATAATGTTATGTAACATTTTTTCTGCTTATAGATTTTTGTGGCCATCAGCGGCGATGATTGCTCTCGTTCCTACAAACTAATTAACTTGGAACCATCCGTGCAAACAGACGTAAAGGTTCTATTCGTTAAAGATGATTTTGTTGGTGATCTGTTTACAATCAAGAATCAAGAGCAGTACATGAATTTGAAAATCGATGAAACACAAGCACATCTTCATTGGAAATTTGGCAAAACCGAGCATCAACTCGTTGCGAATATCAACAATGCCGATAACGAAGTTTTAATTCATAGGTAAGTATCTTACTTATGTAATGTTTAAAGTGGAACTAAAATTATTTTTTGCTTACAGAATGGGAAGTAGCATGCACCTAACTGTAAACGGTAAAAACCAGATGAAAGAGTTGGAGTCCGATATATTTGATTTGAATCCAAATAATTTGCTAAGGATCGGAATGGATTATAACAATAAAGTAACTGGGATTCCGGGATGCTTGAAAGAGCTTGCTATTAATGGTCAGAAGGTTGGATTCTGGAATTTCGTGAAGACTCAAGGAAATTGCGCGGCCTGCCAAAAGTAATATCATATTTGACTTTTAATATAACAGAACTGATTGTATATCTTTTTATAGGAATAATACCGGAATAACCGGGAATATTAAGTATAGGTATAACGGTAATGGATATGCAATAACCGTAGCTCCGGAAAGAGTCAAACCCCAACAAATCAACATCAAGTTCAAAATTTGGACATTTGACGAAGATGCGCTTCTATTAGTGGCCTATCACGATGTACGTTTAAATTACCTAAATTTCAGCGTTTTATTTATATATTTTTTGTTCTCTTCATTTAGGATAGCTACATCAATATATCTCTGCAAAAAGGGCGGATAGCTTTCGAAATGCACTACAAGAATTCGACGATAGAACCTCTAATTGTTATTACCAAAGAGAAATACAATAACGGAAAGCAGACTCAGATTGTTTTCGAAAAGGAATTTAAGAAGATGTTCGATCTCATAAAATGCACTGTGACTGGTGAAAAGGTAGAGAATCTCAGCAACACAAGGACCGGAGTCCGACCGAATGACCTCTTTAAGATTAAAAAAGCCAATTTGACCTTTGGAGGAATTCCGCCCGATAGCAGCTTCTTCTCTCAATTTGCTCATATACCGCCGTTCTTGGGGATTTTAGGTGAAATTACCACTGATGGCACTCCTTATAATCTTCAAGAAACGGCTAATTATGGTATAGAGCTGCAGAGTGATGATAGGGTCAAGTATTCACAAATTTTATTCAGTGAGGGTAATTACGTGAAATTGAAAACTACTGCGAACACTATCACCAATTTCTCGTTTGTACTACGAACGGAGGTGTTGGACGGTTTTGTGATGAACCTGGTTATAGATGAAGAAGTTGTGCTGCAGTTCACATTGGAAAACGGGAAATTGGTTGTTTCTCAAGCAGGTTCCCCATCAAAATTACTGACCATTGAGCCAATCAACGATGATAAATACCATCTGATTCAGTACATCAGACAGAAGACCAACTCTAAATTAGTACTCGACAGTGTGCAGCAGATGAAAGCTAAAACACAACATTCTCAAACTGGAAGTGAAATTATTTTAAACATCGGTGGACTCGAGAATAAAGCCAATAAATTTGAAGGACTCGTGAAGGATGTTTCGTTGAATAACAATTTGATCACCGTCAATAGGGAGACTTATGTTAATAGCGATGGGGCGAAAATCGGAAGATCGAAGCCCCAAAATCTTGAGAAACAAGAGGAAAGTGACGAAGAGAGCGGAATGGAAAATGCGACGATGGAAGACATGCAACAGATTGATGGATGCGAAAAGATCAGCTATAGTTTGGAGCCGAACGCCATCAAATTTGGAGATGCGCCCAACAGTTTTGTGCGTAAAATGTTAAAGGATAGCTTCTGGAAACGCGAGTTTAAGATCGAGTTCGAATTCAGGACGTTCTACAAGAACGGTCTATTGATTTTGGCGCAGGTAAGTCTAAGAGAACATCAATATTTGTTGGAACAGTATGGTATTTTTAATTTTCGGTATTATTTCAGGGACCCAATGACTATAATTTGTTGGAAATTAAGAACGGTAAAGTCGAGTTCCGAATGCATGGTAAGAGGAAGAAGCAACTGTCGAGTACTTTAAAAATTGACGACGGTAATTGGCATCACGTTGTAATTCAGTACGCCGCTAAAACTATGAAGAATAAGAGGAAGTTTATGGAATTGGAAGTTGATGGAGTAATGCAGAAGGTTAAAGCTCCGCCGAGCAGAGTTACCGGAAGCCTGTACTTCGGGGACACTGATGAACGGAAAGTGGTAAATAATCGGTTAGTTTATTTTGTAACAAATTTATTAACAACAACAAACTTTTAGATGGATAAACTTCAACCATTCCGAGGTTGTTTACGTTCGTTGAAGATTAATAATGTTCCTCAAAGTTTGATCAATGACAAGACTACTGTTCATCATAATATAGGTCAATGTTTCCCGAACATAGAGAAAGGATCCTACTTCAGGGGAGATTCCTACGCGTTGTACAGTAAGTGTAAATCAAAGCATTGTTTTGATGTAATTTATTGAATGTTTTCGTTTATCTTCTCTTGCAGAACGCTACTTTGGCTTGTCGAATTCGCTCGAGTTCAGTTTCAATTTCCGGACGACCGAACAGAATGGTGTTTTAGTGAGCATATCGAACATCGGCAATTCTCCGGCTTTGTCGATCGAACTGCAAAATGGAGCTATCGTTATGTCCGTCGACATGGGAAGCAGATCCGTGACGAATGTTACCAATAACTTACCAAAATTCACCATTTGCAACAACAAGTGGCACCACGTAGCCGCAAAGCTGTCCACCGAATTGACCGTAATTGTTGATGGAGTCGAGAAGAGTTGGGTGCTATCCGACATGGGTCTTTCTGAGCAAATCGAGGCACCCTTGTATATTGGAGGATTACCAGGTTTGTATTCAACAAAAAATAACGTTGAAGAATGATTAATAATAATCAATATTCATTTCAGATTCCGCTCCAGATGGAACGCTAAAGATACGTGAAAATTTCAAAGGATGCATCAACAATTTAACGATCGGTTCGGACGTCGTCGATTGGATCGATATGGAGGAATTGAACAATGTTTCGCTCAACTCTTGTCCAGTTATATTACAGTAAAATACCAAAAAGAAGAAAAACAAACTAAACACTAGAGGCATACCCAACGGTTGATGCCTTGATTGTAGACAGTGGAAGAGGATTAAAAGTATTAAAATTCATACAAATGTATTATAGTTTGTAGCAGTTACAAATGTATATATAATTTTTTACTCTTGTATATAAAAAAAAAATAATAATTGAATAGCATCGGAGAGACGACACTGGATTCTCTTTGATTTTGCAGAGAGCGCTCGCATATTGCGTATTCGAGATCGAGTCAATTTATGTTGTGAAACGTTTTATGTACCTATTCCAAAATTGCCATATTAATTAATTGTAGTTGACGACGAATGCGGAACGAAGGAAAGAATAATAATAATAATAAAAAAAAATAACGAGGATCGTGAAAGTATTTATCTTTATTTAATGTATTTTGTATAATTGTTGTAAATAATACGAAGCAAAGTAATTATTATGTTAGTTGATAATTTTAATACTGAGAATTAAACGAAAATATAATAATTATACAAAATTGTCTCATTACTTTCTTCATTCATTTATTACCAATTACCACAATTGTTTATTTTTTAATATTAGATTTTAGTGTTTTTAAACTTTATCAAAATTTTCCATAACTCCTTATAATCAATCAGTGGCAATCGCAAGCCCGACAACCGAAATTCCGTCTATCGAAATCCCGACTACAATAATCCCGACAATCAAAATCCCGACAGTGTCTTTAATTATTATAAATTCCTTTTTTTTCCATTTTTGTATCCTTTATTTTATTCACAGCCTGCCAATTTTTGGCAATTAGTAGAATATGTTTGGGATAAATTTCTACAATAACATTTTTATGGAAGTCGGAATTTTGATATAGTCGGGATTTTGATTGTCGGGATACCATAATCGGGAATTCGAACGTCGGGATTGCGATATAGACCCTAATCAATATGTTTTGATTAAAAGGATTCTACTCCGTAAAAAATTGTAGATTTTAATTAAATTTATAGCTTTTTTTAATACATATTGTAGTAATTATGATATTAGTATTGAATCATAAACATTATTTATTATGGAGTGAGGTTTTTCCAGCAAATGTAAGAGTTTGTAATAATCAAATTATGATGTGTATATTTGGTTGCCGCATCGAATATTTGCAATTTAGTATTGGTAGCAGTGGATGTTTATTACAGTTAGTAGATTGGTAGTTCTGAGTGATTATTTGGTTCCATGTTGTTTATGTTATGATTGAATTTGGCATAAACTAAGTGCACAGTTTGGTGTTTGGTTTAGTTGTTTAATGAATGTTTGAGCAATATGACGAATAAAAGTTCACCGGACAGCGATCTTTACGGCACGAATTTCTCAACGGAATCAATAAAAGTAATCGCGGAGAGCATTGGCATCCAATCGCTGCAAGACGATGCGGCCAAAGAGTTGGCCGATGATATATCATTCAAATTAAAACATCTCATCCAAGATGCAGCCAAATTCATGCATAGGGCCAAACGTATAAAACTCCTTCACAGCGACATCGACAGCGCACTCAAAGTGAAAAACCTAGAAGTAAACCAATCCATCCTAACCTATCTCCATTCAGCATTCAAAATTAACACATTTGTTTGCAGCCTCAATATGGTTTCCACTGTGCAGAGAATCTACCATTCAGATTTGCTTCTGGTGGTGGCAGGGAATTGCATTTCATTGAAGACAAAGAAGTGGATTTGAACGATGTTATACAGAATGTAAATACAAAAGCTCCATTGGAAGTTACACTCAGATCTCATTGGTTATGTATTGATGGTGTTCAACCAGCAATCCCTGAAAATCCACCACCACTTGCTAAAGAGGCACAGAAGATTGAATCCATTGATCCAGTCAATAAGATTTCCAAACCTAATAAAGATTCAGCAAACAAACCAAGTGCTAGGAAGCAAAAATTGAAGAACACAGAGACTGTCCAGATTAAACAATTGGCTACACACGAGTTGTCAGTTGAGCAACAATTGTATTATAAAGAAATTACTGAAGCTTGTGTTGGTTCAGATGAAACAAGAAGAATGGTTTGTTTTTATCCATAGATATAATTAAATACATTTACATTTCTTTCTTTGTTTAATAGGAAGCGCTGCAAAGTATGGCTTCTGATCCAGGTTTACATGAGATGCTTCCAAGGATGTGCACTTTTATAATTGAAGGTGTTCGCGTTAACGTCGTACAAAATAACTTGGCGTTATTGATTTATCTTATGAGAATGGTCAAGGCTTTACTTGATAATCAATCGCTCTATTTGGAGAAATATGTACGTTAATTAGTTTACCGCTTGGAATTTCATATTAATGAGTATTGTTATTATAGTTGCACGAGTTAATTCCTGCGGTAACGACATGCATAGTATCTAGGCAGTTGTGCGTGCGACCGGAATTGGATAATCATTGGGCTCTGCGAGATTTCGCATCCAGGTTGATGTCGCAGATTTGCAAGAACTTTAATACTTCGACTAACAATATCCAAACTCGGATAACGCGAATGTTCAGCAGCGCTCTGCAGCAAGACGACACGTTACCATTATCCTCTTTGTATGGAGCTTTGGTGGGTCTTATTGAATTAGGCGCGGAGGTTATAAAAACTTTTATATTGCCTCGCGTCACAACCATTGGTGAGTCGTTTCTGATCTTGTAGATATCGTAATTTGGGGATTATATTGCGTTTTTCAAGGCGAAAGAATCGAAGTTCATTTGGAAGGACCGCAGGTATCGAATATAGATAAGATTGCATCTGGGCATATCAAGCAGTTGCTTTTGAAAGTTCTTGCACCGATCGTGAAGAACATCATCGATCCTCCAGATCACATAGAGACGTATCAGCTCAATTACGGATATCTCGGTGGTGCTCTTCAGGCGGCCGTCTTGAAGGCCCGAGCGCAGCCCGTGATGGCGACTACGACTTACTCGAACGTCGTGTGCTCTCCGAACATCATGCAACAGGTTAGTGAATTCTGCAAACGTGTTGGGTATGTCGTTTCATACTAATTGTAATTTTAAGAGTTTCATAAATACGAATAGGGCTATCGTGATGAATCAAGGTAATAGGGTGACAACGCCGACAGGCAACCAAAAAATAGTATTTGTAACTCAGCGACCGCAAGGCGGGGGGCAACAGCAGCAGTTTTCGCAGCAGCCAGCGCAGAACTCGCCGAATACGGTGGTCAAATTTGTCTCGAACGCGGCGACTGCCAGTACCCAGAAGATCGTCACAACACAGCAAAAGTTAGTGGTAGTCGGTATACCTGGTAGTTCAGCAAGTAGTAGTGTAGTTAGTACACCCTCAGTTGTAGCCAATAAGAGCGTCAATTTGGTCCCGAAGGCTTCCGAAGAGGGACAAGCTCCGCCCGACGATGATATCATATCGCACGATTGATTTATACAATTTTAAATGTAGACATAGTATTTTTTTTCGTTGTTATTTCTCCTTTTTATACATATAACGTAATATTAAGATCTCATATAGAGTTATTAATTTTGTTTTATTTCTATAACATATTTAGTGCAATAGTCTAGAATTCCGAGTAGGCAACACGTTTCTGTTCATTATTTTTGATCTATTGAATTTGTTATTTATTTTTATAGGTTCGATGTTTTTATTTACGTAGCATTTGTTTTGTAAGATATTTGAGTAATACTACAATACTTTTCATCTCTACGTGACAGTGTACTTATCTATTTTATTTCTAGGTTTCTCCACCAATAGATAGTGCATTGTTTCCCTAGATTCCAAATAAAAAAAACACTAAATTTCATATAAAAAAAAGAACATATTTTCAAATTTAATCAAAACTATACATAAAATATATTATTATTTTAAAATAAATTGTATATAAAATCAAAGAATATTAAATTTATATTAAAATACCTTCTTTCCTATGTGATATTGTTGTAAAATATTATTGAATTATTACAAAAACATATTCTTCCACCTATTAGATACAGCTGTTTAGGAGGATCAAATAGATCTGAAAATACGAGTGTTTTGTGAGAATTATGTAAATGTTACAGTTCAGTAAAAAACGTGCATTTTATGTAAGTATAAAAATCAGTTCTAAACTAAAGTGATACTAACTTTGCATGTAATAATTGCAAATTGGGTTGCAGAATCTTTTAAAAAGTGTAACTAAAACCACTTCAATTTATACTTAAAGAGAAATGTTGTATCTCATTACTTTTCCATCATCAAGTACTTTATGGTAATTATTTGATTAATGGAATTAATATAGTAAATATGGAGCATTTTTAAGCGTTTTACTATAAATTGTTGCATTCATTGTATTATTTATAAAAATGATTTTGGGTCACCAATATATTTTTTTTTATATATTTCTAGAAACTTGGTTGATAAATATTTTCTCTTGTACTGAACGTTGTTGAATGATGGAATTCAATCAATATAATACTAAATTTGTTACTAATCTAAATACATATGTGTTTTTGTCAGTGAATAACTTAAATTAAATTATGTACAAAATGAAAGTTTCGCATTAAATAATTATGACGGAACAGCTACATTGGGATGAGTTTTGTTGTAAGCGTCCAATGCGACCTCGCGCAATGTCTTGGTCATGGTTGGACCAGTTTGCTCCACCATTTTCGTGAAGTGTCCTTCCGGTTTCTGGAGCAGCAGATGCGGATGTTCGAATTCTATCATTCTACCAGCATCCATCACCAAGACCTTATCGGAATCCATGATGGTGTTCAAACGATGGGCGATGGTTAGAACGGTGCAATTGGCGAACTTCTTCCTGATCGTTGTTTGAATCAAAGCATCGGTTCTACAAGAAAATTATTTGAATTGTAGTACAGCGTTGTATGATTCTCTATGAAAATCTTTACCCAGGATCGACGTTAGCTGTTGCTTCGTCGAGGACCAAGATCTTATTGTTTCTGAGGATGGCACGAGCTAAGCACACGAGTTGCCTTTGACCCAAACTGAAGTTTGCGCCACCTTCGTCGACGATGAAATCCAAACTGGGGACGGATTCCTTCAACTCGACTTCATCCAAAGCGAACCAAAGAGCGTCATCGGTGAATTGATTGAATGGATCTAGATTGTAGCGCAAAGTTGCAGAGAACAGGACCGGTTCTTGCGGAATGATAGCGATCTTCTGTCTGAGAGTGGTCAAGCCCAATGTATGAGTTTCCAATTCATCGACCACGATCGTTCCTTCCAACGGAGCCAAACGGAACAGAGCGGAAATGAGCGATGATTTTCCAGCACCAGTTCTACCCACGATACCAATCTGAAAATACATTTGATAGTCAATCCGAATTAGAAATGCAATTCAGTCCTAATTACCTTTTCTCCTGAAGATATATCCAAGTGCAAATCTTTCAAAACCGGTGGATCGTGCGGGGTGTACTTCATCGACATGTGCTTGAATTTCAAGTCTCCAGTTGATGGCCATTCCTTCGGGACAACTAAGCAATTTGTTTATTATTATTGCTTCATTACCAATAATATGATTACTTACGTTCATCTTTAGGGGCAATGAAAGGTCCTTCCATATCGAGAGTGGTGTAATGCAAGACACGTTCAACACTGGCCATTTGATTGACGACTTCAGCGGTTTGTCTCATTCCGTGTTGCAACATACCAGTCAAAATCAGCGATTGCGAAATGGCTAAGCCGACCATACTTCCGCTAACGTCTCCAGCTAAAATTATCGTTATTTATTCTTCAAACTTATTTGAAATATTTATTAGAAATAACTTACATAAATTCAGGAAAATGAAGCTGAACGTTACAACCGCAGTGAAAATGACGCAAACCATGTCGATCCATAAACCGAAGGAACTTGTGCACGCGATGGTCAAGAACCAAGCAGACGTATGCGCATCCTGATGATGATCGAATTCCTTTATCAGTCCCTTTTCGGCGTGAGACGCTCTGATCGTGGTGATACCATTCAAAGAGGAATTTAAATGCGAAAAGACAGGACTTTTGGCTGTAAATGATTTAAAAAAATAGTGATCGATTAAATTTTGTATATAAATATGCTTACTTATTCCTTCTAAATGCTTGATTACTTTTACTGTGGTCAAGTACCATTTTCTTAAGAAAATGAAGAGAATTATGAAGACAACCATGGCAATAATCATGTAATAGTTAGAAATTGCAATCATAACGAGGATACCAACCATCACCAACATGATCTGAAATTTATTAAAGACGTTTAAGATTTTTTGAAGAAATTAATAGTTAAATGTATTACCTGCATAGCTTCCATTGTCACCCTAGGCAAAAGTTCATCGACGGCTCCCATATCTTTGGAAAACCTATTCAGAACTCTGCCGCTCGGATTGGTATCGAAGAATCTCATCGGTGCTTGCAGCAGTGAATTGAACATCATCGAGTGAAGATTTTCCGATGCTATCATAGTAATCTTGAAGAAGGCGAATGATCTGACCAGTGTTAAGATGATGATGGCAACGATTATGGCGGTGTAAACGTAAATTGCAGCGTATGTGTCCATTGGCGTTCCGAAAATTTCGTCCCAATCCACTTTTCTCTCGGCACTTGAAGACTTGTTGACCACATCGTAGGTATAGTAGATGGCACCGTGCTTCAATGGTGAATCGGAGTTGAACATTTCTCTTGATTTGTGGCTAACGTAGTCCACGAATCTCTCGATCACAGTTGGACCGAAAACTGTTATAATTGGATCATCTTTGTGCTTGATCTGTTCGTGTTCAGTCCTGATGAAGTTAAGCATTAATTATTTGATTCGTAAATTTGAGTGTCTTTTATAAACTTACCAAAAGCTGACCCAATAATCGGCTCCACTGCAAGATACTTGTCCGAGGATAATGACTAAAGCCACCATGAACAAGGTGCAACAGTTTCCTGCTGCTTTCAAGTACTCCTTCGTCGCGGATTTTCCAGCTAAACCAATTTCTTCTTCGTCTTTTTCAGGCATATCTTCATCGGCGATGGATTTAATACTCTGCAGAGTTTAAAATGTGAGTTATGTTAATTTCTTGTATTCATATATTACCTTGATCGATTTTGTGGATTCGTTTCTTTGCAATTGCTTGGGTTTTTCGGCTTCCTGCTGTTTCTTCTCGGACGTCTCGTCGGCTGCTACCATCATTTTAGTGAAACTGAAATCGCTCTTCGAAAGTTCTTCGAATGTTCCCTGGGCTTCGATCTTTCCCTCGTTCATGACCACAATAATGTCAGCTTTCTTCAGGTATTGCAATTGATGCGTTACCAGGATCCTCGTTTTGCCTTTCAAGTAATTAACGATGCACTCTTCGAACAAGTGTTTTCCGACGTGGGTGTCGACAGCGGATAGAGGATCGTCCATGAGGTAGATGTCCGCACTTCTGTAGACGGCACGCGCCAAATTGATCCTAGCTCTTTGACCTCCACTCAGAGAGACACCTCTTTCTCCGACCATCGTTTTATCTCTTTGGGGGAATTGATCGAAATCCGGAAGCAAAGCGCACACTTTGGTGACCTTCTTGTAAAGTTCTTTGTTGTACTCTTGCCCGAACAGTATGTTGTTCCTGACGTTCGACACGAAGAGCCATGGTTCCTGCGAAGAGTAACTGATGTCTCCGCACAAAGAGACTTGACCGTTCATCGTCGGGAGCTCTCCAAGCAGCAGCTGCAGGATGGAACTCTTTCCGGATCCAACGGGGCCGACGATAGCGCACAATTTACCAGCAGGAATTGTCAAATTGAGTCCGTTCAATGTGAGATGCTCTTTTTCGGATGTCCAAGACGCGTTAACATTGGTTAAATTGATTTTATCCTTGCTGGTTCTATCGATGTTCGATAAAGCTTTCTCTTCCATCACCAAGAAAGTCTGCAGACGCCTGATGGAGACCACAGTTTCGGCACCAAACGAAATGGCCATTGGCAAGAAGATGGCTAAAGCTAATTGCAGCAGATTGAAGAATTGAGACATAGAAAATACTTTGTCGGCTGTGATCACGTTGTCTAATAGAACGTAGGTGATGACTGTTAAGTAGAGTGTGGTGCGTTCGATGAAAACCATGCAACTCAAGAAGATTCCTCTGAGGTAAGCAGATGTGGTCAACACCTTAATTTCACTGGCCCTGATTGCCCTGACCATCTTCTGGAACGGCTTCTCCCATGCGTACATCTTGATCACCTGAATACCGGAAATAATTTCGTTCATCAAGCGAACCCTGTTGTCCGTGCGCACAGCAATTTTCGATCTCACGCTTGAGGTAAGTTTACCCAAATAACCTGCGAATTAATATGTATTAATTTATAATCATTAACCTTCACTAATCGGTTACCTTGAACTGGTAGAGTTAGAAGAATCATAGCGAGAATACCAGAGAGGCAAGAGATTCCAACCTGTTCCCAAATGAAATAAGCGACCACAGCCACTTGGAAAGGAGCGATCCAGATGTAATGAAGAGCTATGGACACGTAATCGAAACGGCTCACATCGTTCGAAAGCAAATTGACCACTTGACCGGCTGCAGTTTGACCCAACGACTTCTTGCTGAGCTTCAACAACTGTTAAAGAATAAATAATTAAAAAAACAATAATGAATTATATAATTTTTCATACTTTTCTGTAAACCAATGAAGAAACGGCGATTCGCACTCTCATACCGATTGCGGATTGCCCGAAGTTGCAATGATGATTGAAGAAGATTACGACCAACGAAATCAAGACGAGAACTGCACCGGAAATGTACATTTTCGTTTGATTGTCTCCATCGTCTTCAATATTCGGAGCGAACAGGCTGATCAGGTAACCAAGAACGACTGGTTGGAAAGACCTTCAAAATCATCATCAAGTTATTATTAAATCGTAGATTAATTGATTTGAATCAAATCTACCTTAAGACGACGAACTGGACGAAGAGGAGGATACCATACATCATGTAGTGACCCAAGAACGTTTTGGAGATTGCATTCACCAAACTGGGGTCTTCGTTTTTCTTCTTCGCTCGCGCGATTTCGTTCATCCAATTCAACTCCAATTTATCTCCAAGCATATCCGACTTATCCCTGTCCAAAGTTTTGTACAAATCCGATACTTTGAGTCCATATTTGACGCCTTTCCTGAAGAGACCTATCATCCATCTGCGAAATTGTGCAAACAAGATTATTTTTTAATTACCGCAGAATTAGCACGCATTTGAATCATATAATGAATTTGCGAAAACACGGATTATGTCCACTATTTTAAAAATACTACAATTATACGTGCCAACACTAATATACAAACAAATGATTGTATGTGCAAACAAAGTATTCATTTAATTGTAGTTTCATGTGTGTAATTCGTTAACTCAGTAGTGACAATAATATTTTTTTTTCTATTTGCTTTGCATTTATACATATTCGGATTTAAAGGATTTGTTGGAATTACTTTTTTTTTCACGTTTTGCGCATTTGTAACAGTGAATGAAAACGTTTAGATTATTATTCGATATCGAATGTGGGAAAATCCATCGGATAAGGAATAATAAATGTGCTCTCACAGTTTGGGTAATAAAAATCAAAATTTTATGAAATATTCGATTTTTTACCTAACGTTTTCTGATTTGATACGTTAATATTTTTATGGTTCGCTCTCAGAGATAAGTGACATTCTTTTACGTGATTGTCGGTTTCTACTGATTTTATCGCGAGTCGAGTTTTCTCAAGGAACCATAAATAGATTTAGATCCAATCATTGATTGCGCCGATAAATCGAATTATGATTTAATGTTTTTTTTTATTGCTTATTTCTAGCACAAATTTTAGTCATTTTATAATTTTATATTTCAATCTGTAAATAAAGATATTAAAAAAAAATAGTTCTCTCTTAGATCAAACCTAGAATCATTTGAAAATGGTTGAATTCTTCAAATTGATTTTGTAATTTGAAAAACTGAACAATTCAAATTTTATGAAATGTTAATAAAATCTTGTTAAAATAAAACTGAAAAGATTTAATAAAATCTTCTGAAAATGTAGTTTTATTAGAACTATTAATGGACAACAAAATGTTCTTTCACTGTTTTCAATTTTCGTAAAAAAAAAATTGCTTTGTTACTTAAATTATTAATATTTATGAGTCTGTCATTGTTGTCTCTTGTATTTGTTTTTGTAATAATGAGTTTGATAAAACTTATGTAAATCAGTATTTATCAGTTTAGCCTATTTTAGAAATGCAAGAGTTGAACCATTTTTAAGCATTAATATTCCAATTAAAAACTAAAAAAATATACTAATTATGTATGTACATTCTTATAAAGGTATGTCAATATTTTAAATTTTTCATTCATTGAAAGAAGTTTATGAACTTACAACCAGATTCTTTTGAAAGTAAAAGCAATGTACGAAATGATACTTCAATTCATTCAAGGCAGTTCCATAAAAAAATTGTAGTTATTTCAATTTGTAAAATAATTTACTTGCTTTTCATGATAAATTTATATTAATATTTATTATAAATATTCTCAAAGCAAAAAGTGTAGTTTTTAACGAACGATATATCTATTTTTGTAAATATACTTTTTTTTATCAATTTCTTGTTAAAAATAGCAATAATATTATAATCTATCATAATTCTAAAAATTTCATACAAAATTGACACGTTATTTATTTTTTTCGCATTTTTCTGCAATGATAAATGTCCAACAAAACAACAATTTTGTTTTCAATTTAGACTTACGTAAAGCAGAGTCGGGATAAGATGTTGGCCTTCCGATGCGGATTATCCGCTGTCAGCTGTATACCCGGATCCATACCACTTCCGGTTTTACTGCTAAGAAAAAAGAACAAAACTTCCGCTTCTTGGTAAAGAATTACAAAAAAAAACCCAAGTAAAAAAAAAGGTGCGAGCTGATACACAGGTGGACTACCACTGACTGAATCGGCGGCAATGTTATAGACTTGACGAGTATACTCGTTGAAAGATAAAAAAAAAACTGCCGAAAATGTACTGTTATCGACGTAAACGCTGCAAAATCATCAAAACAATTATTATTTTAATCTGAAAATTCTTTACCTTATGGAATTTTACGTTACTCACGTACATAAACCCAGACTTAATATTACTAATTCGAATCTGATTACAAAATATTATTAATCTCGAGAACGAGAAATCTGTTCGAGTAAATTTTTTATAAAAAATAATATACTACAATAATATTAACATAATTGGTATTACTTTAATCTAAATTTTCGTTAATACTTAGAATTACATAATAAATTAACATAAGTTGGAAGCTTTCTTCATTTCTGTTTACACAGTCATTGTTTTCTGATAAATACCAACATTTTTTTTTATTATCTAATCTAAATATCGATATTACAGTGGGTTTTTTGTAGCTACAGAAACACAAAAAAATGCGTTATGCAAAGACGAAATTACGAGTTTATTAATTGAAGAGTGCAAATGGGGAAAACTAATTAACATCGATGTTGCAAAAAATGTTTATTTGTTGCTTATTCTATAAATAAACTTACAGTTGGTGTTCGTGTTTCGTCGATTTGCATGGTAATCTTTACGTTGATTTTTTTTTCTCTTATCGGCATAAAGCGATGTTGTAATCCGTTTGATCCGTCATAAAAATCTAGAATATTTGTGATTTCGTCTCAATCCCAATATCGATAAATGAAGTTTTCGTCTTTGTCTATCGAAATTATTGTTGCAATTTAACAACAATAATTGATAATTCAATCAAACTGAAAAATATGAGTATATTAATTATATTTTGATTTTTTGTTGAGTCCAACCACTAAGTTTGAGTATTACTGAGGACTATTATAGGTCATTAACAGACCAATATACAGAATAGATAGATCTAATGGAAGATAGTGACCATTTGCAAGGTTTTTTCGAATTTTCAACTAAAAACCAAACTGCAGAATTGATAGATCCCACGGAGAACAGTAACTGAAGCGGAATGTCTTCTCAAAACCGTGCCTTACTCCTCAAATTCCCACCCCCTCTATATTAATAAGAATTAACTTTGTAAGTACAATAAGTATTTTGAAGCAGTATCAGAACAACCTTTAAAGATGAACAAAGTTTTATAAGAATCTTAATATGATGAGCATAGTCTCAGATAAATCTTAAATCTATCAAGTAACAAATAAAGTTATGTAAAACCAAACGAATTTCATTAAATTCCCAACAACTGAGACTGCACAACGACAACAAAAGAAGATATTCCACAGTGTCCAGAAAACCATCGCTGGGACACGACATTTTAGTGTTGTGTAATCAATGTTTCACTATCATTATACACCTACTCATTCAAAAATTGTAGATATGTCAAGATATATCAATGACGTTGACAATACGTCAATTTGAAACTATTTAATGAAAACATTTTGACATAAATCAACTTTCTTTGAATGTTTAATGTGAGTATAAAAATATCCAAGAAATTCATTAATATTTGCATATTTAATGTGAATTAATGTTAATTTTGAAGTTTAAGGGTAATTATTAATTAGGAATGTTTGAAAAATAAATTAAAATAGAAACTTTTTTTGTTTTAAAAATAACTTCATATGTTGACAATTTACGATTTAAAAGACTTTTATTTATGTAAATATGCAATACAGAGAATGGTAATTGTTGGCGTATATGTGAGCTTGTCGCTTATTTAGTCAGAAATACAAAATATATACATGATGTTTACAAGATAGAATAAAAATAGGTTATTTGTTATGGAATGTGATTATATGCTAGCTGAACATGTGATACGTAACATAGACATTAAGTCAATTGGTTGGGTGAGGTTTGGGTCTGGATGAAGGAACATGAGTTTGATGGTGCTAAGGAATTCTGCCATTTCAGGGTCTTCGTCCGGGAGGGTGCGTCGTGGGCGAGAATTGCCTGCGGAAAAGGGATTTTGTTTTTGGGTTTGCGAGTGCAGGCGGACGTAAAGGGTGCGAGTGTGGTGGTTCTGGGAAAAGGTTTTGGCGGCATGTGGTCCTTGGAGATTGTTGATAAATTCTGAGATTTTGGAAAGTGTGTCGTGCTCGTGAAGTTGCACGCAGGGTGTAAATAGTGGAGATTCAAAATTTTTGGGATGAGATTTCTTTCGAAGCTGTAGATTCGCTGAAGGCTAGGTCGAGTTGCGATTGAGAGGATGGTGGAGGGATAGATGAGGACGGGTCGGATGAGGTATTTAGGTGTATGTATGGTGTATTAGCCATTTTAGATTTCAGTTAGAGTGGCGGAGAGAGAAGGTTCGACCTTGTCAAAGGAGATGCTGATTTCTTGATTTCAATGTATTAGGTACACTTTTAACCCAAGGGTGTGGAAGACTACTGCCGCCAGTTCGGGGTCTGACAAATACATTGTTTAACATTTATGCCATAACTATTTGAAATATATCTACAAAATATGTATATAAACATTTTGAGTTTACTACAATTGTGACTCACGTCAATGACATTGAGATTGTGTCAATTTGAAAAAAAAATAACAAAAAAATTGGCAACTTTGGTTTCCATGGTTGTAACTGTGGCTCGCGAGCCGCATGCGGCTCTTCAAGAGTTTTGTTGTGGTTCAACTGATAAATAAAATATCATGTATATTATAGATTCAGATTTTTCTGTAATTTTTATACCAAAAACTTTAGGTGCGGCTCCAAATAGATAATTCTCATTTTTTTTAACAATTATTTGTTTATTACAAAATTGTTGTTTATTTTTAATTATGTATATATCAAGATTTAATTACTTCTTCTAATTAACAAATGTATAAAAATAAACAAAAAATAGAAACAAATTTTATTTTTATGAAAACTTTATTTGTCAACATATTGTTGACATATTTGTTGAATAATTAGTTTTGTATATATCAAGATTAACTTACTATACATCTTCATTCACTAATCGACTCTAATAACGTTGACATTCCATTGAGTTGAAATAATATATAAGTAATAACTTAATTTTGACAACGCTTTATTGACAGATATACGTCAAACCTGTCAATAAAGCGTTATGTATAATAAGTTTATAAGTTGACAATACACGTAGTTTTGTGTATTTTAAGATTAATTTACCTTAGATCTTTTAGAAATAGTCTTTAATGATGTTGACATTTCGTCGATTTGAAACAATTAAGTAATAATAAATTAAATCTACACTATAGTTTTTTGCTGTCCTAACTACAAGCGCACCATCATCATTTCCGAGACTCAACCTAGTTCAAGAGTACAGAACCGCAGAGTTCCTTTTTGGAAATTGTTTATATTACTACCCTATGTTATATGTGCGCGGCACATGCTAAATGAGAAAGGTGGCGGAAGGAAGAAAAAGATGAAACTTTAGTTTTGTGTATTTCAAGATTAATTTACGAAACATCTTGTCATTCACAAATCGACATTAATAACGTTGACATCTGGTCGATTTGAAACATTTTAACAATGAATGAATAACCTATTTTTGACACTTTATTGACAAGTTTGACGTTTATATATTAAAAGTTTATTATGAATTACAAGGATTGGAAAATAAATAAATAAGTAAAAATAAAAACGTATTTTATTTTTGAAATAAATCTATAGGTTGACAATAAACACAATGAAAAAAAATTTGGAAAAAAATAATTAAATTCAAACTGCAAAACAAGTTTATCATCATTTAGATATGTGAGAGATATACGTTTAGCATTTCAAGATTCAATTACGATATTTCTCATTTGAATCTTGATTATCACAATATTACGAACAAAATAGTGTAAAGATTCTTCTGTTGGTAATGATTGTGGACAACAATTAAATTACATTTTATAATATTAGTCTCCAATAATGTCCAGTCCTCCATATGATAACATTCTGAATAGTCCTCTGGCTACAGTCTTCATTTCCAAAGATTCATAATCATAAAAAATACAATCATTAAACCACATATAAATATAAAATCTAAAATCAAACAATAAATTTAAAATTATAGCGCAGAAAAAAATAGTTTTTTCTAATTACATTTTTATAATTTTACATTGATAATACATAAATACAAAAACATTAATATTTTACATAAATAGTTTAAACTGTAATACTGAAAGAATGGCATATCAAAATTTCTCGAGGAATCTAAAAAGTTGATGATGATTTTTCATTGTAACGATCACAAAACATTCCGAATTCATTTAATTGGCACTCAAATTGCAAGTATAGTCAACAGCATATTTTAAAAGAAAAGAAAAACACACATAATTACATTTAATTATTATGAAGAGGAAATGCTTACATTCAAGCGAATTGAAATATTAAATTTTACATTAAGTTTTTATTAAGTAATGTCATGTTTTCTTGGTTGTCATGGTTTCGATGCAAACAAAGTAATTGCTATTCACAATAATATAGGATCCTCTTGTCATTTGTTTAATATCAGGTTTTTGGAGGTTATAGAAATGTCAAATTTTTCTGAATATATAAACTGTAAGAAACAAAAATTTCTTTAACAAGAAAAAATATAATTCTTGACAATAAGAAGAATTAAATTTGACATAATTTGTTTATTTACAAGTTAAAATGTAACAAGGAAATTATAAATCTGAACGTATAACACATCACTTTATCTTAATGTCAAAATTGTGTCAATTTGACATAATGTTAAAATTGCGTCAATGTGAAATTGTCAATTTGACAAAATGATACATTTTTTTGACATATAACTCTTTGTTCTTGAATGATTAGAAAATAACCAACAAATGCACTGATATTTGCTTACAGGAATTGGATTAATGTCCATTAAGAAATATAAAATAGAGGATTATGATCATAACATCATGAATTACGATATTTGTTTGGATTTGGATCAAAATAATTAAAATATAATAAGATTATAATATACAGAAATAATATAATGATGATTTTCA